TCTGTTTTGTGAATTATTTTCAATCACAAATAACTAGTGTCATTTATCCTTTTGCGGTAACAGTATATTTATCAGAAAATGTTATCAATTGATGAAAACAGAGACCATATACATGTAATAGATTATATGGCCTCTGGTGAAAGTCAACAGGCCTCATATTCTGTTAACATTAAAGTAAATAGAAATTATCTTACCTCAGTATCTTTTCCTGGGTTTTGGAGCAATGTCATCATATCAAATTATTTCTACTGAACTTTCAAGGATTGTTGCTGTGTGCTGAAGTGTCTGATAGTAACATGCTCCAATTACTACAGTATGTAAAATGTCTCTGCCATCATAAAACAAAAATGTCAAGAACAGTCTTCTTTGAATTCAAAAAGTGCCCAAACCTGAGCATTCTTTCATTTAAGGTCTGTATGTATGTGATATTGTCGTTGCCACATATATATGGCAATAAAAAATCCAAATTGAAATCTCAGTGAATTAGCTCCAAACTGGACAACAAAAATCATTCATTGCAGGGCTCGATTTTGGGAAAGGAAACCTATATGCACCTCCTGCTCAATATATAATTATCTATTACTTGTGGTTTTAATATTGCTTATTCACAGCATGATTACAACAAATTATTCTGGGTCTGGTATGATAATTTTATATTACTTATATAACTGACATGATAAAAAGGGTCATTCTGTCAGTCGCTGTCAGTGTAATCATTGCTCCAAGCCAGTTTGGGTCATCAGTGTGTTTCCCAGATGAAGTCTGTTTTTTAAGAGCAAAATATGAACATGGACAGTGTGCAAGTAGGTTACATTTTGCAGTTTTAGCTTGGACCAGTGCAAATTCTAGATGCTAAATCAAGCCATGCACTGGGTCACTTGACCAGTAATTTCTTTTATAAAAATGGACACACGTCAAACAATGTGAAATACTAGTAAGTAGAATTAAAATTTGAAAACTCTGCGTTTTGAGGCAACAGAAATATTTCAATTTTGCTCCTACTTGGAGAACAAAAGATGTGCTGTTTAGCTGTTTTAATGTCTAAAATAAATACCGATTTTGAGTGAAAGGCATTCACACAGACTATGACTATTTTTTTTATCCCGTCATTCCAATTTTTAAGAAATCCATTTACATTACATTCTTACAGTACATCTGGTTTCATCCGTTTCTGTGAAAGGAAAAAAGAATTCATGCACGACATCTACAATCACCAGAATTGTCCGTGTCACGATAGACACATAACAATATTATGTTTTTGTTATGACATACTGACATTTTATAATATCTCACCGTGTTAGAACGTATTAAATCATCGACGACTTAGAATTTGTAAAAATAAAGATCTACGCACCGGCGGCAATATTGAGGGGACAAAATATACAATCGAGCAAAAAATGCCAACTACTGTTGAAAACAGCTAACAGTAACGGATAGAAGGTGATTAAAAACTTAATTCAATTATATATTTTGGATTTTACGGGAATTTGAATCAATTTAGAAAAGTATCAATTGTCGTTTTCCAACTCGTGCCTATTTTACCTCCACGAGTGCCATGCCGTACGTGCTTCCGGTTTCATCAAGAGTGGGTACAATTACAAATATTAGTTAGGTATTGAGTCGTTTTTGAATGTTTTTGAGTTCAGATTCTGCTTATGAACGTGTATTTTCAAACATCCTTCGTGTCTTGTCGCCTAAAAAACCCGCGAGTTTGGCCACGCCCTTACGCGTCACCTATGGCTGTCAACAATGTCAGTGACAGAAGGTCTATCCAACAAAATCATTATAAACTCGATAAATATGATAATTTTGTTACAAAGACAGTACCATTTATCTAATCAGACCGTGTAATTAATTCCAGCGAAAATAGTTGGATCTATCAAAAGGATGGCACATTTTTTTCGGTATCACGATGCATGTGGAGTTGTTTGTTTACAGCCGTTGCCATGATCGTTCCTATTCGTCCAATCGGTGATGTAACATTGAGATTCTTTTTGTTTATAAATAATTAAACCGAAAGTTACTAAGTTTAGAAAATGTAAAACTTCAGTGTTTTCTCTTCTCCAAAAAACAAAAATATTGATCAAATCATAAAAAAAAAATTCATCATGAAGAAAGTATTAGACTGGGTACCACTCGCGTGATGTGCCTGAAGTCAACAATGGCCGTTATTTGCGGCTGTGTGCCGAGAATGTTGGCGAACACATTTTTAATTCGCGGGCGTTTCGTTTTAAGGTACATACACTAATTGAAGATTATATACTAGTATTTAGAAAGCTGAGAATTAATGCATTCCATGTGCAGTGCAGTGTGTTGAACAGAAGAGCAATCCTGCTGATTTGTTCGCTTGGATGAAGTCAGCAGGAGTGAAAAGTGAGTGAGTTTAGATTTACGCCGCACTCAGCAATATTCCAGCAAAATGGCGGCGGGCTGTAAATAATCGAGTCTGGACCAGACAATCAGTGGACCAGTGATCAACAGCATGAGCATCAATCTGCGCAATTGGGAACCAATCACATGTGTTAACCAAGTCAGCGATCCCGTTAGTCGCCTGTAACGACAAGCATGGGTTACTGAAGATCAATATTCTAACCCGTATCTTCAAGGGTCGCTTGAAAAGTGAAATAGAAACCATTCTGTTAGCTGCTGCTGACGATCGCTTCCTAATCGTATCCGTCATTGTGCGATTTTGCTGTATATAATATATGTGGATTAGGTAAATTTTACACACTATATCAATATTATTGCATGAATTTAAATACCACAAACTTTGTAACAATAATAGACGCAATAAGCATCATCCTCGTGTTTAATTATATAGCCCTGCTCCCCTAGATGTAGAATAATAGTCAGTAGTCGGGCGTTTTCATGTTGTATTCCACATGACATAATGATTTAAAGAACACCCGTTGCAATCATATTCACAGGTATGGTAAACATGAGGATAATTATGTTATTCATTATATCATGTAATAATCTTTCTTATGTTTATTCTGTTTGGCAGGACGCCGAGCGTGTTTAGGACAGCCCCTGGCTCGTATGGAACTATTCCTGATTCTGACCAGCTTGATTCAGAAGTTTAAGTTCGTCCCTCCAAGTGGAACGCTGCAACCCCTGATAGGAATAATGGGTATTGCCAACAATGCTCCCTCTTTCAAGTGCAAAGCCATACCAAGGAACGTTTGAGAGACTGACGCTGTATCAGAATCGTTATATGTGCTTGTACTTAATGTTTCTATGTGAAACGTTTCCAATTTCTGTTGTTGAGAACCGACACCTCAATGTAACATTGGAAACCACGACTAACAGTATCGGTTCAAAATGAAATGTCCAGACATCTTAGTTCATTTTTAAATGCTAATACACTCGCTGTCGGGCATGACTCACAACTGATATTTTAACCTCGAAACAGACGCATAAATACATACAAGAGTGGTTCTAGGTTAACGTCGTACCCATCAGAATATGCACTATACGATTACAAAGGCATAGAAGAGACACTATCCCTTTTTGATCCAGCTTTAAAATGATACATGAGCGTATCACCAGCAACGATTAACCTTTTCATCTGTTTTAATAGTTGTTTTTTATGTCTGACTTGCATAGCAATATAGTTTTCCCATATTTGGATCAACAGTTTACTTTACTTCCTTAGCTTACATAATCGGAGTGTATTTAGTCCCTGCTCACCATACGTTTCAGTCGTACAATGGACTCTGGAGAGGGTTTTGTTGTTTATATCCGCGTAGATAGAGACATGTTTACATAGAAAGTGGTATGTAAAACTTCTTTTGCATTTGCATATGAATACTTTGAGATTTGCATTGTTATACATGTATATCTATACCTATATGAATACTTTGATGGTATAAAGTTATAAAAAAATCATGTTCGAGTTGTGTCGTTGTTTTTCATTGCACCATCCCTGTAAGGGGCAGGACAGACAAAAAATGTCTGAGTTATGTCTTACATTTGCCATGTGTGGCTATGTGGAGGTTTCCGGTTCAATATGTATATGATGTGTGAGTGAAAGAACTTGTTCTGGCGTAACCTATCACTTATTCTCCGTGACCTATACATTTGCTGCCATCAGCACTATGCCGGGGTTAGAAAAGGTTTGGGGGGCTGATTTGTCGTCACAGTCCAGCAACAGTGAAAATTCATAACTAAAACATGGTGGTAATATTCAACGCTTAATGTGCGGAGTAAATTAACAAACTTAACGGAGTAAATGTAAAAGTCCATGGATGTTAAAATAATGCGTATAGTCAATGTAATCACTCGGACGTTGAGATTGATGTATGTTAATATAATGTGTATAGTGAATGTAATCACTCGGATGTTGAGATTGATGTATGTTAATATAATGTGTATAGTGAATGTAATCACTCGGATGTTGAGATTGATGTATGTTAATATAATGTGTATAGTGAATGTAATCACTCGGATGTTGAGATTGATGTATGTTAATATAATCTGTATAGTGAATGTAATCACTCGGATGTTGAGATTGATGTATGTTAATATAATCCGTATAGTCAATGTAATCACTCGGATGTTGAGATTGATGTATGTTAATATAATGCGTATAGTGAATGTAATCACTCGGATGTTGAGGTCGATGTATGTTAATATAATGCGTATAGTGAATGTAATCACTCGGATGTTGAGATTGATGTATGTTAATATAATGTGTATAGTGAATGTAATCACTCGGATGTTGAGATTGATGTATGTTAATATAATGCGTATAGTGAATGTAATCACTCGGATGTTGAGATTGATGTATGTTAAAATAATGCGTATAGTGAATGTAATCACCCGGATGTTGAGATTGATGTATGTTAAAATAATGCGTATAATGAATGTAATCACCCGGATGTTGAGGTCGATGTATGTTAAAATAATGCGTATAGTGAATGTAATCACTCGGATGTTGAGATTGATGTATGTTAATATAATGCGTATAGTGAATGTAATCACTCGGATGTTGAGATTGATGTATGTTAATATAATGCGTATAGTGAATGTAATCACTCGGATGTTGAGATTGATGTATGTTAATATAATGCGTATAGTGAATGTAATCACTCGGATGTTGAGATTGATGTATGTTAATATAATGCGTATAGTGAATGTAATCACCCGGATGTTGAGGTTGATGAATGTTAAAATAATGTGTATAGTGATTGTAATCACCCGGATGTTGAGGTCGATGTAAGTTAAAATAATGCGTATAATGAATGTAATCACCCGGATGTTGAGGTCGATGTATGGTAAAATAATGCGTATAGTTAATGTAATCACTCGGATGTTGAGATTGATGTATGTTAATATAATGCGTATAGTGAATGTAATCACTCGGATGTTGAGATTGATGTATGTTAATATAATGCGTATAGTGAATGTAATCACTCGGATGTTGAGATTGATGTATGTTAATATAATGCGTATAGTGAATGTAATCACTCGGATGTTGAGATTGATGTATGTTAATATAATGCGTATAGTGAATGTAATCACCCAGATGTTGAGGTTGATGAATGTTAAAATAATGTGTATAGTGATTGTAATCACCGGGATGTTGAGGTCGATGTAAGTTAAAATAATGCGTATAATGAATGTAATCACCCGGATGTTGAGGTCGATGTATGTTAAAATAATGCGTATAGTGAATGTAATCACTCGGATGTTGAGATTGATGTATGTTAATATAATGCGTATAGTGAATGTAATCACTCGGATGTTGAGATTGATGTATGTTAATATAATGCGTATAGTGAATGTAATCACTCGGATGTTGAGGTCGATGTATGTTAATATAATGTGTATAGTGAATGTAATCACTCGGATGTTGAGATTGATGTATGTTAATATAATGTGTATAGTGAATGTAATCACTCGGATGTTGAGATTGATGTATGTTAAAATAATGTGTATAGTGAATGTAATCACCGGGATGTTGAGATTGATGTATGTTAATATAATGTGTATAGTGAATGTAATCACCGGATGTTGAGATTGATGTATGTTAATATAATGCGTATAGTGAATGTAATCACTCGGATGTTGAGATTGATGTATGTTAATATAATGCGTATAGTGAATGTAATCACTCGGATGTTGAGATTGATGTATGTTAAAATAATGCGTATAGTGAATGTAATCACTCGGATGTTGAGATTGATGTATGTTAAAATAATGCGTATAGTGAATGTAATCACCCGGATGTTGAGGTTGATGTATGTTAAAATAATGCGTATAGTGAATGTAATCACCCGGATGTTGAGGTCGATGTATGTTAAAATAATGCGTATAATGAATGTAATCACCCGGATGTTGAGGTCGATGTATGGTAAAATAATGCGTATAGTCAATGTATTCACTCGGACGTTGAGATTGATGTATGTTAATATAATGCGTATAGTTAATGTAATCACTCGGATGTTGAGATTGATGTATGTTAATATAATGCGTATAGTGAATGTAATCACCCGGATGTTGAGGTTGATGAATGTTAAAATAATGTGTATAGTGATTGTAATCACCGGATGTTGAGGTTGATGTAAGTTAAAATAATGCGTATAATGAATGTAATCACCCGGATGTTGAGGTCGATGTATGTTAAAATAATGCATATAGTGAATGTAATCACCGGATGTTGAGGTCGATGTATGGTAAAATAATGCGTATAGTCAATGTAATCACTCGGACGTTGAGATTGATGTATGTTAATATAATGCGTATAGTGAATGTAATCACTCGGATGTTGAGGTTGATGTATGTTAAAATAATGCGTAGACTAAATGTAATCACTCGGATGTTGAGGTCGATGTATGTTAAAATAATGCGTATAATGAATGTAATCACTCGGATGTTGAGGTCGATGTATGTTAAAATAATGCGTATAGTTAATGTAATCAGTCGGACGTTGAGGTAGATGTATGTTAAAATAATGCGTATAATGAATGTAATCACCCGGATGTTGAGGTCGATGTATGTTAAAATAATGCGTAGACTAAATGTAATCACCCGGATGTTGAGGTCGATGTATGTTAAAATAATGCGTATAATGAATGTAATCACCCGGATGTTGAGGTCGATGTATGGTAAAATAATGCGTATAGTCAATGTATTCACTCGGACGTTGAGATTGATGTATGTTAATATAATGCGTATAGTTAATGTAATCACTCGGATGTTGAGATTGATGTATGTTAATATAATGCGTATAGTGAATGTAATCACCCGGATGTTGAGGTTGATGAATGTTAAAATAATGTGTATAGTGATTGTAATCACCCGGATGTTGAGGTCGATGTAAGTTAAAATAATGCGTATAATGAATGTAATCACCCGGATGTTGAGGTCGATGTATGTTAAAATAATGCATATAGTGAATGTAGTCACTCGGATGTTGAGGTCGATGTATGGTAAAATAATGCGTATAGTCAATGTAATCACTCGGACGTTGAGATTGATGTATGTTAATATAATGCGTATAGTGAATGTAATCACTCTGATGTTGAGGTTGATGTATGTTAAAATAATGCGTAGACTAAATGTAATCACTCGGATGTTGAGGTCGATGTATGTTAAAATAATGCGTATAATGAATGTAATCACCCGGATGTTGAGGTCGATGTATGTTAAAATAATGCGTATAGTTAATGTAATCAGTCGGACGTTGAGGTAGATGTATGTTAAAATAATGCGTATAATGAATGTAATCACCCGGATGTTGAGGTCGATGTATGTTAAAATAATGCGTATAGTGATTGTAATCACCCGGATGTTGAGGTCGTTGTAAGTTAAAATAATGCGTATAATGAATGTAATCACCCGGATGTTGAGGTCGATGTATGTTAAAATAATGCGTATAGTGAATGTAGTCACTCGGATGTTGAGGTCGATGTATGGTAAAATGATGCGTATAGTCAATGTAATCACTCGGACGTTGAGGTTGATGTATGTTAAAATAATGCGTATAGGGAATGTAATCACCCGGATGTTGAGGTAGATGTACAGTGAATGTAATCACCCGGATATTGAGGCTGATGCATGTAAAAATAATGCATATAGTTAATGTAATCACCCGGATGTTGAGGTCAATGTGTGTTAAAATAATGCATATAGTTAATGTAATCACCCGGATGTTGAGGTCGATGTGTGTTAAAACAATGCATATAGTTAATGTAATCACCCGGATGTTGAGGTCAATGTGTGTTAAAATAATGCATATAGTTAATGTAATAACCCGGATGTTGAGGTCAATGTGTGTTAAAATAATGCATATAGTTAATGTAATCACCCGGATGTTGAGGTCGATGTGTGTTAAAATAATGCGTTGAGTGAATGCAATCACCCGGATGATGAGTTAGATGTATGGTAAAATAATGCATATAGAGAATGTAATAGCCCGGATGATTAGTAAGATGTATGTTCAAATAATGCGTATAGTCAATGTAATCACTCGGACGTTCAGGTGGATGTATGTTAAATAATGCGTATAGTGATTGTAATCACCCGGATGTTGAGGTAGATATGAAGTGAGTGTAATCACCCGGATATTGAGGCTGATACATTTTAAAATATTGCGTATACTTAATGTAATCACCCGGATATTGAGGCTGATGCATGTTAAAATAATGCGTATAGTGAATGTAATCACCCGGATGATGAGTTAGATGTATTTTAAAATAATGCATCTTAAAATACTGTCTGTAGTGAGGTAAGGTGAGGTGAAATTGGGTTTAACGTTGCACTTGAGAATATTTCGCTCATATCACGACGTGCATGCGTGTGTATGTGTATGTGCGGCTGCTTGTACTAGCCCAGACTGAAGCTGGTTTTATAGTGCTAGCCCACTGAGATACCATGCCGCAGTG